ATGTGAGCAGTGTTTTAGTGGAGGCAGCTGGATGAACGTCCTCCTGACTGCTGGGAGACTCCCCACAACATGAGCAGCTCCATCCTGGACCTTCTGACGGAGCATCTGTGTCCAGCTCCACTGAAGAGCATCAGGAGGAGCAGAGGAACAACGTTCTTCATCTATAGATGTTCTGTACGAGACTTTTGTCCTGTTATAAAATAAAATCTATAAAAATTACCCTGTTTACTAACTGTTATATTTATTATATATAGTTCTTGTCTATTTAAGTATTTTTGTAATCAAACATTTTCAGCTGTATTCCAGAGATGGATGGTCTGATATCTGACCTGTTGATCAGACACTGCTGTCAGCTAATTAACGGCTTCAATAAAGATCGTATAACGACCTGAGAAACCTCAACATGTATTCATATTAAAACGTAATCCAGCAGAGCTGTGTTCTAGTATTTCATTTCATTTCCTTGTTTTTCACGGTAAAGATAACAGATGAGCCGAGGTGGTGACGTCATCGAGTACGCTGCCGTCCCAGTGACGGGTTCTCGCGGACTCGCTGGACCGTTCTCGCGAGTACGCAAGTACGGACTTACATACTTGAGTATTGAGATAAGGCTACTGTGTACTGACACCGTGTCCTGGTACCAGGGACCACCATACCTGGCGGACACCGGGTCCACGGTGAGCATCCAGCCGCGGTGCTCCTCTTCTTTTGCCGCCTTCACCTTCACCTGCTTGTCGGTGTAGCGGATCCACTGCAGCGGACCTAACAGAGGCCAGCCGCGCTGCATCCTGGTCCTCCCAGACTGACAGAAAAGCAATAGTCAGTCAGTAATAGTCAAAGCTGACACTTCAGGCTTCTCTGTGGCGCCACCTTTAAATGACCCCGAAGGAAACACGGCACACAAACAAAGGTTCCGCCGCTGCTGCCCCGGACGTTATTCTGTGACCGGAAGCGGTGTTGCTGCCGCAGATCCAGTTAGCAGCTAAGCTAACTCCCCGCACAGTGAGCGCACCCTGTGCAGCTGCGGCCCGCCGTGAGGATGTCCAGATCCGGTCGGTACGGAGGAGGTAACCCGCTCTGTGTTCTCCTTTGTCGGGTTAGCACGGACCGAGGCTCGCCCCGGTGTCAGCCTGTTAGACAGAGCTAACAGCTAACAGCTACCTGACTGAACGTCACAGATTAGTTTCGAACAACAACAGCACAAACGCACATCGGCCGCGACAGCGACACAGCGTCCGTCTGGTTCTCCTGTTAGCCGCAGCTAGCTCCTCTTTGGAGGCTCTAGAATCCTCCGGATTCTGAATAGACTTTGGTGAGACTCTGTAGGACCAGGAGCAGCTGGATGTCTCAGCTCATTTGCATACAGTTAATTGATAATTCATGAGCGCAGCAGGCCCCTGATTGGCTCATACACTTGCACCTTTTTGCTTCGTGTTGTACCTGTCCTCTCTCACCTGTCCTCTCTGTGTCCTCTACAGAGGCGAAGGTGTACGTGGGAAACCTGGGAACTGGGGCAGGAAAAGGTGAGCTGGAGCGGGCCTTCGGGTACTACGGGCCACTCAGAACCGTCTGGGTCGCCAGAAACCCTCCAGGGTTCGCCTTCGTGGAGTTCGAGGACTCTCGAGACGCCGAAGACGCCGTCCGAGGGTTGGATGGAAAGTCAGTGTTTGAAACACCTGAACACACACCTGAACACACACATCAGCAGTTTGTTTGTTTGTTAGTTGTTTTCAGGGTGTCTGCAGTTTGTTTGTTTGTTGTGTTCAGGGTGATCTGCGGCAGCCGGGTTCGGGTCGAGCTGTCCACTGGGATGCCTCGTCGTTCTCGGTACGATCGGCCGCCGACGCGCCGACCGTTCGACCCGAACGATAAATGCTACGAGTGCGGAGAAAAAGGTCACTACGCCTACGACTGTCACCGCTACAGTCGGAGGAGCCGGAGGAGCAGGTAACCATGACGACCGCCACGGTGTCGACATCATGCGATGATCTGCAGTTTAAATGCCGTGTTGGAGCAGCTGAGCCGCGGCCGCCCAATCACACGGACCTGCTCAGAGTTGAATTCATGTTCCTGGGTTGTGGGGAGCCGGCTCAGCTGCTCCTTCTGTCGTCTCTGATGTTCAGTCATGTTCTCTCTGTGTGACGCTGTCAGACCCGAGTCCTGCAGGACGCTGGATTCACAGAGTCTGATCTGATGCATTGATCTGAAAAGCAGCCGATCGCTCAGCAGTGAACGGGAAGTTCTCCTGCTCTCTGTCAGGAAGCTGAAGCTCTTCACGCTTTTCTGCTCACTGAACAGTTGAGGTGACTCATCCAGAGGATGTCTGAGATGAATGTATCATAATCATCCATTGATCAATAATCTGTAAACCATCTTTTGGATTAACTGATCAGCTGTTGGCCTCAAAAACTGAAAGACATGGATCAGAGGTTCCTCAGATGTTCCTCAGATGTCCTGTTCAGTCCAGAGACGTTCAGCTTAGTGCCACAGAAGAAAGAAACCAGAGAACCTTCACTGAAGGAGCTGCAATCACAGAGTTTACACTGCTTTTATTAAAATGAAGCTGACTGCTGATTGGTTGGTGGTGGGGCTGGACGAGGCCAGGTGAGTCCTGCAGGGTTCAGGTCTGCAGCTCACCTGCTGTGTGTCACTCTAACCTGCTGTTCTGACTTCACTGTTCTGAGACTTTGTTTAACACCTGGTCAAAACGTTTCAGGTTCCATCGTTTGGTTCAGATCCTAAATGTTTCATAGAGTTGTTCTGCAGAGGCTGAAGCTCTTAAAGGTTGTAGACGCTGCGCCGTGTTAGTTTGGCCGTAATGTAACCAGGAAAAGAGCTGCTGGACCGCGGCCACTTCTAGAAAAACCCGCCTCGCTTCTATCAAGTCTCAATCGAGCGATTTGGCTGTCAGTACCATCATCGTTAGAAATCTTCTAGATCTCCTAGATCTGCTAGACCCGGTCCAAAGAGGGCCGACCTGCAAAAGGTTTACTTCATCACCCATTACTGTTTTTACTGTGTTTGAGTGTGTAGCCCTGTTCTACCTCTGCATGAGTAACGTTAAAGTATCAGTTGTAGTTCATCACTTTATCTCCACCTGCCACTCTGCTCCTACTCACTGCTGCTCTCCTGCTTCTGGTCCGGGTCCAGGTCCAGGTCCAGGTCCAGAGGGAGACGATCCTCCCGCAGCCGGAGCCGAGGGAGGAGGTGAGTACGAGTCAGGACGCCGATCTGTTCATAATCAGTGCCAAAAATGATGTGAGGTCTGAGCCAGCAGGACTTTTATTTTGATAAGGTAGGTCACCTGTTCCATGTGTTGATGATGTCATCATGTCCAGGTCCAGGTCTTCCTCTCCTCGTCGCTCCCGCTCAGGTTCTCCCAGAAGGTCCAGTACCAGGTCCACGTCCAGGTGAGACTGTGATGTCATCACTGTCAGAACACCAGGGGCCTGAACTAGAAGCAGGATCTGGGGTTAGCGAGGTATCTTCAGGGTAAATCCTGGGTCTTCAGTCCTACGANGTTCAGGGGCTGTGTGGTCGTCCTCGTCTTCCTGAAGTCCATCACCATCTCCCTGGTCTTGGCCACATTCAGGAGCAGATGGTTCCTCCCAGACCACTCCACAAAGTCACTCAGCAGCGCTCTGTGCTCCTCATCCCGTCCACCACGTATACACCCAACCACTGCAGAGTCGTCAGAGAACTTGGGGCTGGAGTCTATGCCAACTGACTTGGGGTGAAGGCAGGGGACACCTGGACAGGTAACCAGTCCATCGCAGATCAACAATGATAAATATGTGATTAATTACATTGCTGTTTTCATGGTTGAGTTTTAAATGACCAAATATGTCTTTTATAATTCATCAGATCTCATGGTGACCTATTTAAAATTAGTTGTACAATGAAACTGATTAAAAACATAAAGTCTTCAGGGTTAAGAAGCAGGAAAACTCCATCAGTGCGCCTCTGTGTGGGGGGTGGGTTAGAGTCTCAGCTCTGGGTGGTGGGTGTTTGTGGGCGGGGGGGAGGGAGGAGGTGGTCTGATGGACGCTACACCTCAGAGCAGGAAGCTTTTCCTCAGGCCGCTAGTCCGGGTTCTGATGGCTCGGTACCTCCTTAGAACCTTTTCTGCGCACTGATGATAAATGAGGCCCCTGGGGATTTGGAGGTGAGACTAAATACCTGGAGCTCCCCACCAGGCAGTTATAGCTGAAGAGGCCTCTTGGATGAAACTAAAACATGTTCAAGAACCACAAGAAGTCCAGCTGCTCTGCTCTGTCGCTCCTGTCCAGAATGTGGACGCCCAACCTCCATGTTCTCTGGAAGTTTTGGAGCTGCTGGTCATCCTGGAGCAGCCATACCCTCTGATCTGCGTCAGCCTGAGCAGGGGAACCGAGCCCGCTCAGCCACTCAGCTTCCAGAACCTCAAACCCTGTCTCTCCACCTGTCTGTCTGTCTATCTGTCTGCACACCTGTCTGTGTGCAGGGTGGTGGTTTTGAAGGTAACCTGACATCCTCGCCGGACATGAAAACCAAACCAAACCAAAATTCCAGTAATGATCTGTAGACACCTATAGAACTGATTCTACTTATGAATGTGACTAAAAAGCAGGATCTTGATAAAAACAGGTTCAGTAAAAGCAACATGAGGCATCTGTTGTGTTCTTTCGGACCTTTATTTTTCCACTGTGACCTCCACTTGGCTGGCTTCCCTCCAGCTAGCGGACTGCCACGCAGGCCAACAAGCAACAGGAAGCTGGGGAAGGTTAGGTAGAGTTTAGGGTTAGGGTTAGGGTTAGGGTAGGGTTAGGGTTAGGGTTAGGGTTTAGGGTTAGGGTTAGGGTAGGGTTAGGGTTAGGGTTAGCGTTAAGGGTTAAGGTTAAGGGTTAGAGTTAAGGGTTAGGGTTAAGGGTTAAGGTTAAGGGTTAGAGTTAAGGGTTA